GGTAGGAAATTTCAGAACTGGAGGGATAACTTTTCTGTACCCTGCCAAACTACCTTGTGTTGACTCCCTCGTTTACAGGCCATATCCCGCCGCAGCTAGGAAATCTTGGCGCCCTGCAAGACCTCTACCTCAGCCGCAACAAGTTAGATGGTGAGTTGAACACAATTCGAAACGCGTTTTATTTTCCTTCGAGTTGTGGACATGCATGAACCCCGCGTATTAGTTGGCGTCCACTCACTGGTCTAGAAGCCGGGGCATTATTTTTGTTTTGACCCGCAACCATCACTCCGTTTTCCTTCTTCCACTTACAGGTCCCATTCCGCCGGCGCTGGGAAAGCTCGCAGCGCTTCAAGATCTGCACCTCTACGGGAACCAGCTAAGCGGTGAGACACTCTTTAGATGTGTTGAAAAAAATTCCCATGGAGTTTCAAGATGAATCCCGTGTATGCATCGGCGAGATTCATCCATGGACCAATGCTAGAAAATAATTAAGCCGACCATCAATATAAAATAGGTACCTGTGAGGTGGTTGTCGCTAAGTAACAGCACCTGCAGCTGTCGGAGATCTCCAAGCTCTGACGGGATGTTGCCTGCCAGACGAAAAACAAATAAGAAGTTGGCGGGAGAAAACAAAATTAATCACCCGGTGTCTAGAAAAACGGTCCTGCCAACGCGTACGCGGGATTCATCGGTGGAATCAGGCCGCGAAAAAAATCCTTCACCACGACGCACTCAAATCCGCCATAGATACTCACCTGTGAGCTTGTTACTAAAGAGCATGAGCACCTGCAGGTTCCTGAGCTGTCCTAGCAACGCTGGGATTTCACCTGCATGAATTTCGAATGGAGAGAAGTTCGAAATAAAAAATCAGGAATACTGCAAATCTCCGTAGATCTTGTCCCACCCACTAGTGGGCGGGACAAGATCTACGGAGATCGATGATCTAGAAAAAAGGAAGCCGGGTTATTCCTTTTTTTATTTCCCGCTAATTCGTAATGCTCTTCTGCTTGCAGGCCCCATCCCGCCCGAGCTAGGAAACCTCTCAGCGCTACAGCACCTCTGCCTTCAGGGCAACCACCTCAGCGGTGAGATACTTTCCGCAGGATTTTTTTTTTTTTTCAGATTCTGGATGAATCCCGCCGATGCCGATGATTCATGCGGCGTGCGTGTCGTTCTTGAAAAGTCAAAATAGTATTTCACATTCGGTCTCCGGGACTCACCTTTCAGCACTGAATATTTCCGGCATCCAGCTAAGCGGTGGGTGAACACGTGATTTGATAGCGCTCTTTCGCGACCGTTTCAGCGTGAGTGGGTACGTTTGGTTTAGTATATCGATCTCCGTAGATTCTGTCCCGCCAACTGCATACGACTTCCAACAGATCGTTGATGAACACCTGGAACAATGTTGGGGACAGCGTGCAACCTTGTGGGACCCCCTGTTCAATGTCGAAGAATTTTGACAGTTCTCCGTCTAGCATGACCGCGTTTTTCGTACACTCTGTCATCTTCTTCAGCACTCTCCACATTTTCCCCTTGATCCCGTACTTGGACAATTGTTTCCACAGCCCATTTCTCCACACTGTATCGTAGGCCTTTTTCACGTCCAGGAAGAAGCAGTACGTCGGCTTCCCCACCCTCTTTCTACCTTGGATGATTCTCCCTACCGTGAATGCGTAGTCTACGCACCACCTCTTCTTTCGGAAACCTGCCTGGCCCTCACTAATGCTACGTTCCTTCTCCAATACTCCCACTATCCTATCGTTCAGCAGCTAACAGAACACTTTTCCTACTGTGTTCAACAGTGTGATCCCCGTGTAGTTTCCTGGGTCAATCTTGTTTCCTTTCTTGAACACATTCACAACCACTCCTTCCCTCCATGTACTTGGCGCATACTCGTTTTTCCACACCCAGTTGTACAGCAGTACCATCAGCTGTATCATCCCCTTCCCACCAAACATCATGAACTCGTTGACTATCCCATCCGCCCCTGCTGCTTTGTGGCACTGCAACTTGTTCACACGTTCACACACTCCTCAACCTCGTCCTCAGTGAGCTCCTTCTCTAGCTCTACGTTCCCGACGTCTGCCTTCGATGTTTCTTCTTCTTCCTGGGCCCATTCGTCCACCTCCTTCTTCCACACTTGGTCAAAAGCTTTATTCTCCGAAGGCACTCCAAGTCTCTTGTAGTGTCCTGCTTGAACTTCCCTTTTTCCCTTCCCACTGCTGACAATCCACCGTTCACACCTCGCAAAGTTGCTACCCCTGTATCCCCCCCTTGCGCGGTCTTTTTTACCATCCCACTAATACCTTGCCACATCTGCTTGACGTTGCCGAGGGGGGGGGATAAGTCAAGTAAAAGGATTCAATTCGGCACAGTGTTTCGCGCCACTCGGTCCGCCTCTTCGCGTTTCCTGTCTTTCCTCGCCGTCTCGTCCGCCTGCTGTACCCCATCCGCCCCCGTGGTGGTTGCCCTGTCCGTGTTGTTGCCGGTCTTCTTGTTTCGTTTGAGCGCTCGTTGTCGGCTAGCCTCCTCTTCCTTCTTGTGCCAGGAGGCCATGAACCTCTTAGCTCCCTGCAGTACCCCTGTATGCCACGGTACCCGCCGGTCCACCTTCACTGTTTCCATCCAAGTTGTTTCCGGGACTCCGAAGAAGCATGGCTCGGCGTCCGTAGATCCGTGCTCTGCTTCGAACATCTCGAAGTCGTCCTTCAGGCACATGGGAATATGAATAAGTCTAGCGAGCGTTTGCCTAGTTGGTCGCGCTATTTCTTGGGGACACGTGTAAGCGGGCTTCTCTTCATGTTATTTCTTCTAAGCGGCCGAAACGGTCTCTGGAGGGTTAAACAAACGATAAAATTATATTGCCCCATTTCAGCTGAATTTATGAACCATTCTAGTAGGGAGCTCGCAACGAGAGTCCCTTGTGGGATTAGCGGTTGACGGAAGAGGCAGAGCGCCGCAACGCGCTACAGTAGAGCTCCCGATAGTTCGAGGGATTCGTGGCCAAGGTACCGTTGGGATCCAGGTATGTATGCCGACGCGCCGTTGCGTGGACTTTCGCATCTGCTCGTGTTTTCTCCATCTCGGATACTTGACGTTGCGGCTACTTGGTCGGCGTGCATGCCGATAGGAACAGTTAACGTAAGTTGTGGGTGAGTCTCTACTAAATGCGGACCTGAGCCAATGGTCACAGGAGGAATCGAAACAAAACTAAGGTTGGGAAACATAACGAAGGTTGGGCGGGACCACGGGTCAACGCAGGAGAGAATACTTGTATCAAATGATCCACTCCGAGGAAGAGAATACCTTCATAAAGTCGGTACCCTATCGAAAGATTCAAATATGGCACAAATAATGGAACTACGTGGGGTAAACGTTTTTGTGGAGGCAAGTACAGAAAGGGATCACATGTCTCGTTCTCTCCCGAAGCCTCGAGAGAACGCATAGAAACAGGATCATTTCGAGACCATCCCGTCCACCCCACACTCAGCACGCACGAGGTGTTGCGATCGTTGCGGGATATGCCCCCACGGCGCTCAGCACGGGCGGAGGAGTATCCACAGGCATGGACCTCCGCCCGCGGTTGGAGGCCTCACCGAATCCATTATTAGTGAAGTGCTCACCACCGTGTCGGAAGGTGGAAACCACGCATATTGTTTGGTCGAATCCCAGCGGCGCCAGCTGGCTCATCGTCCGTCTTTTACGCAGCACGTCTGGGCTTGATTGATGACGTCTGCTATCCCTTCGGCTGTGTCGGTGTTTGGTCGTCTCAACATGAATACATCAAAACACACAGGGCCCGAAAGCGAACTTTGCCGTAGCCCATGAAATCACGATTGGATCAACTTGACGCTTCGCTTGCACGAGGCAGGCACCCGTAGCGAGGCGTTTTTTGCCGTTCAGGTGCTTTATTGGGGAGTTTCGGCAAATTGTTTCGTTTTGGTCAGACAAAATGGTCAGACAAAATTGCCCAGACAAAAATTGGATTCAAAAGATCCGAAAAGAGGCTCAGATTTTTTGTCGGCATGACGTGGCAACGGCCCCCCCGCTGATTGGCCGAAAGACTCGCGTGCACCGTTCCCCACGCCGCTTCTTCCCTTTTGTCTACACGAACGAAAAGAGGTGTCGTTGTGCTTGGTTGGCTGCTGCTATCATCCAAGGTGCCGGGAGCATCGAGCGGGGGTGTTGCCACCGCAGAGAAGTACCCCGTGTAAAGGCTTCTTGCAAGCAAACTCTCAGCCGCTTGCGAAAGAGAGGGGTGGGGGTTCATTCAAAAGCAGCAGCAGCAGCAGCGGCAGCTAGCAGCAGCGGCACAGCTTGATTGAGCCGAGTACAGTCACCCTCACACTTCTTACACAGCGATTTTTTAAGCAGCATTGCAAACCGCAGCAGCTGTCTAGAGGGCGTGGAGCCGATAGAGAGTAACACAAGGCAACTTTTGGGCCACCTCCCAGGAGTTCGAGTGGCCTACAGCTCATGGTCTGGGTATTCTCGTGAACTGGTTGTAGACAAGAGAGTTGCTCTATTTTGAGGCTGATGACACTTGTCTCATCCCACCCTTGGTCGGTTCCTTCCCCATCGATCACCTCATACATCCACATATTATGCTGGAGACACACACCGCCAGCATCGGAGGAGGAGTAGGTCCGTCGTCCAGTGGTCGTGGTGTGGTGACAGGAGGCTCGGACGAGTCTGTCTGTACCCTGCGATACCATCTTGTGGGTTCCTACTACACTACGACGCTGTTGCTGCTAAAAAATCTGCACCTATTTGAACAGGAGCCCTCGCCTCAGATAAAGTGAGGGTGGAGAGAGGCTTTTGTCTGAGCCGCGGGAGAAAAGTGGGCCAGCCTCAGACAAATAAAACCGTTACCGGCTACACATTCCAAAAAATCTGACCCTTTTTTTGTATGAGCAGTTTGTCTGACCCAAAAAAAAACTTCCGAAGCGGTCTATTGACTTACCGGGCCCTCAAATCTAAATTGGGGTCGCTGGTGTGTATGTGATTTTTTTAGGAGGCACGTGGCAGGTATCCCCGGATTTTACGCTGAGGCATTTTCGCTGAGGCGGGGACATATATATACCGGAGACCCCCGGGTTATTGGCTAGAGCGTTTCGCTGAGGTCTCTGGTTCCTCTGTGTACGTATGTCATATGTGGGCCTGGTGACCGCTGCGAGGTAGCCTACACCCAGCGCTGTCCCCAGGGTTGTCTTGGCAGCCCTGTACCCACATTGTACACTGCATCTATTAATATGTAGCGTATCCACTATGCTACAAGTCAGGTAGCATAGTGGATATGCTGTACATCTTAGCATCATCTATCTGATAGATGCACGCTTGGAAGACACTCGATCATTGCTGTGCTTGCATGTGCCTACGTACCAGATCTGCAGCGTAGTAACTTGTCCGTGTGGGCTGGATTATTTCGTAGTCCCTTGTCCGAAGGCCGCTAATACTCACGTCGGATGCTTTTCGGTGATTTTTCATGGTAACGTTTCGAAATTTCCCCCTCCCGGGTGAGGCCTACGTGTCCGGAATTTCGCGTGTACCCTTGCTACCGGCGCCAAAATGGGAAACAGAGAGTATACCTTCACTTCACCATTCACATTCCTCTGCTGTTTATTTTCGAACCTCGATCGTACGAGTGTTTGATACAGTCGATTCTACCACACTGGTTCCATTGCCTGGCACGATGTTTTAAGGACGTCCATTCTGAAGCTTTAGCTTCAGTCTCATATTTCAATATCCGTGGGTGGGTGGAACTTTTATTAGCATGCCCCACCCCTTGCCCGACCCGGTCTCAAATGCTGATCTCGAGCTACAGTGCAAATGTCGTGGCGCCCCAAGTATGGTTCGGTAGGCAATCGCAAACCATGACCCCTCCCCGAGTTTCAGCAGCTTCCACTTCCTGTGGCCGACACGACTCGGCCTTGACTGTTCCTTGTCTGTTTCGCCATGGAAACGGCCGGTTGAACAGCGAAAGAGGGTCCTGCGTGCTGCGCGCCACAATCTTTTTTTTTTTTTCCTGAGTGACCATGCTGCTGTTGCCGAATTTTGCTTCAGACAACGTTGAAGAAGGCTATCGTGTCTGCCCCTTTGGGGTGCACGCGTCGCGTAGCAGGCGATGCGCGTCGCTTACTTTGTCACCTGTTGTGTCGTTATACATGAAAAGCAACAGCAGCACAACAGTTGAGACAGACAACAACAGGCCCTTCTCCAACTCCGTGGTGCAGTGGGTGGTTTTCTCTCTTGCTGCATTTGCATGGGTGGTATGCATCGTATTAGTCTAAGCGGCGTATGCATGGGTGGCACATCGAATAAGGGTGTTGATGCTTTTTGAGTCTGCTGCGTAGTCAGTCGTAACTTGAGCGATAAGGTGGATGGCAGCACAACAATCTTATTTACAACAGAAAGGGAGGAATGACAACCAACAGTGCTGCTCTGTGCAACGGTGCACATCTATCGCGGATGGACTAGT